GTGAATTGGATGAATACCGTCTCACGTCTCTAAAGTTGAGTTTGTATTATGGTAGCTGAATAAAATTGTGGATTATAATTTTTTACTTCTAAGTGTTTCGAAAAAATCGAGGTTTTACCCTGAATCATCGGTGCCTAATTTTTTTATTAATATGACCACTTTTTTTAGCGGATATGGTAGAATTGTTGGATAGTTTATTCTTGGAACTAGTGTTAGAACTGGGAGTATTAGGATCTTTTAAAACATCACGCTGTGGAGTAGGTGTTCCTGCCCGATCCACTAGAAATGAATAATTACTAATAACTATAGTGCATTTGAAAAGTAGCAAAGGACATACCAGGTTTATCCTCCTTACCAGCGATTTTTATTGATGAAGAGCCATCATGTGCGGTTGTTGTATTTTGGTTCATAGTTATTTGATTATCACTGGAATCTTCATTAGTTATGGAATCTGATTCACTGGCACGTTCAGCTAATATGTTTTACAGTTAAAAAGATAAATTATATAGTGCTAATAAGACACATTTGTCATGCTTACGGTTACATATTGCCATAGATGTAATGCTTGATTTGGAAAAAAGACGTTCCGCTTCCTTGAATTTTCTATTGCGTTTGTCAGCTTTGGAATTTGTAGCTTTGTTTGAGGTGAGATACCGTTCCCAACCACGAATTATATTACCACAAAGTTGTGTATCTTCCAGATATGAACCTTCGAATGCATAAATTTGTCGTTCTAAATTTGCTAGTTGCTCCTAAAAAATAGATGTGTATTTTCAAAAACTTTTTAGTGTCATCATAGGATTACCGATGTCTCTGCTTTTTTCTTGATAAGATCGGCTAATTCTGCGCGTGTATCCAAGCTCGTAGACTTGGTATTTGAATTCGTTTTAGTTGATTTTCGTTGTTTTGCAGCACTTACATCGTTTGTACTTTTGCTAGTTGGGGAACTCATTTTTATTTAGCAATAAATTATACATGAAAATAAAGTAACTATGTTTTCGCACAAATTGTTTATAAATGAAATTTGTAGGTGTCAAACATGTATCAAAAACAAAGCTCGTTGCCACATAGGTTATTTTGTACGATTATTTTTGTAATTGTTATTAGTTATCGTTATGTGCTCAATGTAGTAATCTTCATACACATCGCTAATTTGATATCAAACCTAAAAGTAATTCAGATATATTAGTGTTTTATATTGATTTTGAATTTATTTACGTTAATTTAGAACTTAAATTACAACAATTGCATAGCCATTTGTAAAAAAAAAAGTTTTTTCATTTAAAAATAATAGTTTTGATTTGTTATGTTTAATTTTAATTGTATGGCAGCATAACATCATTATTCTTCATTGATTTGTTTTGCTTATCGGTTTTGTTTTCACTACATTGTTTTACCCGTATTTTTTCGCATGTTTCAAAGGTGCAGAGTACAAGCTAAATTTTTAAAATAGTTTTAGATATAACTACTAGACCTATAATTGTTTAATTTTATGAT